GGGAGCACGGGCATTTAGCAACATCACCAGTCTCAGCACACCAGCAACTTCCCCTTCTCTCTTTTGACATGCGTCTCTGTATCTCAAGTCTGGGCTTCTGCTCTCCTCTCCTCTTGCAGCAGCCCATCCTCCTGGAACTTGTAGTCCCACACATTTCCTTCAGGGATGTTTCCTGGAAACTACATCTCACACATTCCTCCACACTTCTCACCAGAGTCTCTAGGAGTCCACACCTTCAGTTCGCCCCCTAGTGGATGGAGGGCACATTTAGCTATGACTGCTCTATGTTTTGTAATAGCAGTCTCTTCTGCAGCTGTGCCTGTGTAAAGTTCTTCTCTGCAGCACAGACACAGAGTCCATTTCCTGCTAGAGATGTGGACTGGGCTACACAATACTCCAAGGTAAAAGAGCAGAAAGTCAGGAAATATTGCAAGGTAATCTTTCAAGTTATATATCTGAGACATATGAGAACAAGGACAGACGCGGCCCACCAGGCTCCAGCTATAACTCACTTTTAGGTGGACTGGCCCCAGAAGCATATAGAATTGTGTTCAAGTCAGAACCCCATTCATGTGCAGAAAATAGCTGGATACTTGAACTGAATATGGTTCTTTGTGTAAGATTTTATTTTATGAGTTCTGAAAAAATGATGCTTGAAGCTGAACTATAAGTTCTGTAGAAAAGGCAATTCTATACTTTGACCGGTAAAGCAGTTTTACCTACTTGATCCTCCACTCCCACAAGCTCCTCTGCACACTGCAAGACCACCCCCTGCAGCCTCTTCTTCCATATGCTCTGGCAGTCAAATGCCCCTGATGTCCTCAAGACTGATGCAGAGCCCAAAGTCCTGTACTGGATGTAAGGACGTCAAGGAACAGTACACTTCCGGTGCATAGGGGAGCACCATCTGCCATGGGAGTGGAGGATTGAGTAAGTAAAACTGCCTATTCTGTCCTCTAGATGTAAACAGGAATTTACCCCTTGCATTGCAGGGGCAGTCCCACTGCAAGGGAGGATTTTTAATTTTCCTGGAGTTGAGTTGTTAACAAAATATTTTTTTATTTCTGTCTGTAATACTGTTGGAGATTTGTCTTGTCTATATCTCTTATGTAGGTCTCGATAGCAGCAAAACCCAGTATGGGTAACCGCATAACATTAATATCTGTGAACTACTCAGGACATAATCCTACACTACAGAAAATCGAAGACCAGTGGTGGGGGGGATATCCCAGGTCTCAATGATCAAGACTAGGAAGAATATTATAACTCTTAATACTTTATAATTGTCCTGTCCAGAGATAGACTCCTACAACTTAGATACTACTAGAGTGTGCTTTACAGAACAATGACTATTCAAAATGGGTAAACATAATACACCAATATGCCACAATAGCCAGAGGGAGGAGGTTGATTTTATTACATACGGTCTGGAGCTGTGGGAAATTCAGGAACAGTAACTGAATTTATGTCTGATAACTTTTCAATCCCAAATATCTGTAACACAAGACAATATTTACCATGTATGCTGGGAGATACTGAGTTAAGCTCAGCTAATAAACGATTTATCCACCACTTATACTTGTTAAAGACTGTGGCCCTACAATGGACATCCACCAAACTCCTAAAACTTTCAAAGTGTAAGAGGGTGGTAAGCCAAGTACTTCCCCTATACAAAGTAATATATAAAGCCAATAGCTGCCCCACTAAATTTGAAAACATCTCATGAGAATGGGCTGACACCACAAACACCCGTGAATCCTAAGAAACCTTACCTTTGGAATGTACAAGGGCCTCTCTCCTGAAGTCTTCCATACAAGCCTTGTAGCTGCTCACGTGCTTTCATAAGTCAAAGAAGGTTTTTTATTGATAAATACAAAATAATACAAGCCACATGAAACCATAGCTGTTTAGAGATGTGTTAATTTTTATTATTTGTTTCCTTTTTTTCTCTATTTATTAAAAATGGAAATGCAAAATACTGTTATATTGCATGGTCAATAGTACATTTCAAAATTGTACTGACAATTTGATGGAACACTTATCTGGATATTTGTAAAGTACAACAATAAAAACTATTTAAAACCCAGGACTTCTAAATCTTCCCACACTAGCCAACATAAAAACTTGCTTTGGCTGGACATAAACTTTAAAGTGAATATAAAGCTTTGATATTTTATGTTTTTTAAATAATAAACATGACATACTTACCTGCTCTGCGCAATGGTGGAAGCTGGAGGAAGCTGCTTCCTATAGTGGTCACTTGTGAATGCTCACTCCCAAGCTGGCTCTGTGTGTCCATAAGACTCACAGAGTGTGGTTCGGCCCTGCATCCCACTCCCTCCTCATTGGCTGTGATTGAAAGTAGCAGGAGCCAATGGATCCCGATGCTGTGGCAGGCCAATGAGGAAGGAGAGAACTGAAAGAGCTGCTGCACCCGTGCACATCGTTGGATCAAAATTGGGCTTAGGTAGGTATAAGGGGGGACTGGGGTGAGGGGGGGCTGCATTTCAGGTTTCTTTACCTTAATGCAGAGAATGAAGGTTAAAAAAATGTTCTACCTTTATAACCACTTTAAGGCTCAACTCTAGGTAAAAAAGGTCAGCAAAAGGTTCAGATTAGGCTCCACTACACTGCATATGTGCTGACCAGGGGTGGACTGACAACTCATGGGGCCCCCAGGCAATAGGGGACCATGGGGCCCTTGTGTCCTCACCCATACACAAACCACACCCAAAAAAGCCTATGAAAGGTACTAGGGGCATCTCATGGGGCCCCCTAGTGACCCTGGGCCCTCGGGCACTGCCCGAGAGCCCAAATGGTCAGTTCGCCCCTGGTGCTGACACTGAACCTTGCTGCAACAGGAAAGTACAAAATGAAAAAAAAAAGGCAGACAATTTACTGAAAGGTTTTGGTATCTATATTTGATACCTTAAACATATTAATTTTAAACAGTAAGATTTAAATGTTGTGTATACCTCTAATACTAGCATCCTTTTGTTCAAAGTTATACAGGTGAATGCATGATGGAAGAGGAAAATAGCGTACATCTGTGGAACTCATCTACAACAGCCATCAGTATTGGGATTAATTCTAATAGCTGTATGGAACCTTTGTACGCAACAAAGATGTATAAAAGTTATGATGAACTAAATAAACTTACCATGCAGTCTCCAGAAACACAACCCATGCCGCAACCATTACCACGGACAATATTGCAGAAAACTTCTCAAAATCTCACCAACAGAAAAATTTCTGAAAACAGGAAAAGTTACAGTGGACATGCGCTATTAATACACACCAAATCTACACCATTGGAATTTCAAAGACAGGCTTTCATGTCTGATCAGGTTTTTGAAGCATCAAATGTGTTCCCCTATATTCAAAAGGATTTAGCATCTAATTTTGATAAACAAAAAATTCTTGGAAATCATTATCAAGACTCTCTGTTTACTGGTTCTCTGGGTAATATAAGTACTGTTCACAGTAATCATCCTTATGTTCGCCTTACAGAAGATCCTTATTTTTCTCCAGCATCATCTTCTGATCCAGGGTCACCAAAGTTTGCAGATTTTTGTGTTGAAGCCACCTACTCCGATATACCCAATGCAAATTGGCACAATATCAAAGACCTTAACTTTCCTTTGTCTGATTCAAATAATTCATCCCAGATTGATCATCCTTCCAAACTTGAACCACTCCAAGGAGTAGAAATTGCACCTTTCAACAATCTGAGCAGCACTGGTAAGTGGCCCTAAGGGTATTTATAAACATTTTCTATATTGTCTAATAAGCAATGCATATACCTGTAAAATATAGAATATTTACTGCTGTAAAATGTAAGATCAGCCAATCTCAACCAGGGTTCTATGGAACCCTAGGGTACTTGCAGAGGTTACTAAGGGTTACGTGACCTATGGCTAACCCAACTTCTAGTTTGATGGCACCTGTATAATTCCAGATCTAAATACAGCCACAACATATCTTAAAATCACCTAATTGATTGGAATGCATTTTGACAAAATGTCATCGAACTGCCTTTTTTTTTTTTTTTTCAAAATTTTGATGAAGCAAGAAACTTTAATTTTCAATTAGCCATAAAAGGCTAAAAAAGTTGCTTAAAAGCTAAGTTCACCTTTGCAAAAAAAATAAATGCATATATTTTTGCAGAAAAAAAATCTACATTTATAATGTTTTCCTGCAGGAGCCTGGAAAGCATTGCACCTGTGATCCATAGATCCTGGGTGCAATGTGGGCTTCTGCAGATATGTGCTCCAGCTTTCAGCCTGTACCTCTGTACAGGCTTTCTGTTTGAGTGTTCATCAGCGCCCCTGCAGCCCACTGAAACTACAAGTCTACCTGCTGCAGCGGAAGGAATCTGTGAATGAAGAACGTAGCTGTATGGGCGGAGCCTGCAGAGCTGTGCTGTTTTTAACCACTAGCCTACAGGGCACTTTTACCCCCTTCCTGCCCAGGCCAATTTCCAGCTTTCAGCGCTGTCACACTTTGAATGACAATTGCGCGGTCATGCAACACTGTACCCATATGAAATTTTTATCATTTTTTTGAGACAGATACAGCTTTCTTTTGGTGGTATTTAATCACCTCTGGGTGTTTTATTTTTTCTTAAACAAACCAAAAACCACTGAAAATTTTGAAAAAAAAAACGTTTTTTCTTAGTTTTTGTTATACAATCTTCTAAATAAGTGATTTTTCTCCTTCACTGATGTGCGCTAGTGAGGCTGCAGTGGTGGGCACTGATAGGTGGCACTAATGACGAGGCACTGGTAGGTTGATGGGCATTGACAGGCATCACTGATAGGCACTGAAAGGCAGCACTAATACATGACACTGATATATGGCACTGATAGGCGGCACTGATAGGTGGCATTGACTGGCACTTTTAGGCGGCACTGACTGGCACTTTTAGGCGGCACTGACTAGCACTGATAGGCAGCACTGATGCGCACTGATAGGCGACACTGACTGGCACTGATAGGTGGCACTGATTGACAGCACTGATATGTGGCACTGATTGACATTGATAGGTGGCACTGACTGGCACTGATGGGTGACATTGAAAGGCAGCTCAGATGGGCACTGATATGTGGCATTGATGTGCACTGGTATGCACTGATATGTGGCATTGATGTGACACTGATGGGCACTGGAACGTGGCACTGATGAGCACTGACTGCTGGCATTGATGGACACTGACAGGTGGCACTTCTGGGGCCACACTGATCATCAGGGCACACTGATCATCAGTGCCCTGATCATCAGTGTACATGTCCCCTCTGCGGAAAGCCGATTACCGGCTCTCCTCTCCTCTCGAGCTGTCAGCGTGACAGCTCGAGAGGAGAGAAATGCCGATAACTGGCATTTCCGTGTTTACATGTGATCAGCTGTGATTGGACACAGCTGATCACATGACCGAGCCGACATCTTCGGCTCTTTCCGTGATCCGCTGTGTCCGAGGGACACAGCGCACCGGCGATCGCCGCGCTGCGCGCTCCCTGAGCCGCGCATGCGCGGTGAGAATGGAAGGACGTCATATGACGTACTATCAGAACGAGAGAACCACCTTGCACCCGTCATTGTACTATATGGCGGGCGGGAGGTGGTTAAAGAGTGACAGCGGATTCAGGTAGAAGAATCCTCGCGCACTGTCATGTGAAAAGGGGAATCGGGTGGAAAGGGAGCAGAAGCTGGAACCTAAATATAGGTGGAACATGTTCCAAAGGTGAACTTATCCTTAAAGTGACTTTCCAAAGCATCCACCTCATTCAGACTATAGCTAGTCATCCAACAGCAGATTCTTCAAATACATCTCCGTACGAACATTTGTTCAAACAAATTGTTATCAGTACATTTAATGACTTGACGAATGTCGTCTGAAAGTACTATAATAAAAAGATTATTTATGACATTCAATTTTGGAGTGAATGGACTTTCCATAGAAAAAAAAATAACATTTACTGTTAGACATTCGATAGTTTGAGAAAAATTGTCCATCCTGCTCCTTTGAATTTTTTCATCACTGTGGTCAAAAATAAACGGTGACTTGGCCCCTCTAAGGATTAAAAATTAATTAACATTTTCAAGCCAAATTCTACTAGTGTATGACTAACTTAACACTCATACTACCTACACTAGCTTACTGAAATATATTTAAAGTAGAACGTGGGGCAAAAACGTCTTTACATGTCTTTTTTGCTGATTTCCTACCTTCACTGAATATGTCATCCATCTTGTAGTTCACTCAGTAGTTGCTCTGAACTAGCCTATTCATTTTCAAATCAAACCGTTAATTCTCTTTAGTTTCCTGTTTGTAAGACAAGTAGCTGCTATGCATCCTCTTCTCTCAGCCACTGGTCTTGGCACATCCCTTCTGTAGTCCTTTCTCCAGGAAGCAGTGATGTCATTGAGCCCCACTTGCAGTGGTGTGTGGACCAAGACTCTCAGACACATTCAACATGTACAGACCTAGTGTACCCACCTGCATTCACTACAATTCCCTGTGGTTGATGGGAACTGTGTTTTTTTTTACTGCAGAGGTAGAGGATAGGATATGGTGTAATCCCTGCTGTTACACCTGCTCCTTGGCAGAGCAGATGCTGTTATCTTTTGAATTACAGAGAAGAGGTCATGAAAATTGATTTAGACTTTTCTGCTAAATGGTAATGTGTAGGGGGATGTACTAATGAGTGATTTGTTGACTTACCCCGGAGTTCTTCTTTAAACATACCTTTAACAGACACAATGTGTTCATTTAAATAACTCATATTGCATGTCTTCTTGTATTTAGTTACTTCTCTAAAAGCATATGATGAGAGTCCCCCTCCTCTGCCAGAACGAACACCTGAATCCTTTATTGTACCTGGGGAGCTTGGTAAGTGATGAACAGACAAAAGCAACAAGCTGTTGTAAAACTTTTAAAATTTAGGCATCATATGTAAGGCCTCATGCACACTGGGTATAACAAATGTGGCTTATACAGGCTTGTGGCATTTTTTTCTAAAGCCTGTAGAAGCAACTCTGTGTTAGCCTATTTGTCCATGCACATTTGGGCATTTACAGGCATATTTACAGAGGAGTGTGTTCAGACTGAAAAAAACCCCATCACAAGTGCGTTTTTAAAGAGGAGCTTTCAGGCAGAAAAAACACTTGAAATGCATTAACACAGCGTTTTGGAGCATTCAGCATTTTCACGTGTACGTTGATTATTGTGAAAAATGAGCAGAGGGGAATGTTTTGGAATAAAAGCAAAATGCCCATAAATGCTCATAAACTCTTGTGCAATATGAGCCACTATGAGCAATTTTTATGTTACTTTTCCTGCCAGAGGTTTTGGAATTTTTTCCACCTCCTAGTGTGCATAGACCATTAAAGCGAAACTAAAGTCCCACATTTGAAACTTGTGAGCAGACAGGTTCCTTACTTCAGAAGAGACATGCAATGTCTCTTCTGCAATAAAATAAACCTACCTGCCTGCTCATTGTCTTCTATGGAATGTAATGGGACAATTTCACTGTTGTGCATGTTATGCATGCGCATCAGTCACGTCGCACCAGCCTATGAGAATGGCCCCAGCTTGACACACAGAAGAATCCGCGTAGAAGATGCCAGCTGCTGGCAAGGGACCTTGGACCACTGAAGGGAGGTAAGTATCATGGAGTTCAGCACCCCTTTAAAAGAAAGGAAATTAAAGGTATCTGTTTTGTCCAAGTCTGCCAATACAATTTCTGTGAAACAGAAATAAAACCACCTTCTTTGTACCTATTTTTTATCACTGCATCCAATAACAACGCAGTTATCTGTTTCAACTAAAACTGTCCAGATGAGTGGTAGATGCATTACTAATGGAAAATACATTGTTCACTTTGCAGGAGAATTTTCTCTTATCTTAGTGAAGCTCTGCTGACTTTCTGCATCCACATTGCACGCAAAAATATTGTTTTTGTTATTATCTTTGCAGTCGAACAGGATTAGAGCATCTCCCCATAGGGGGATTCACGCTCGCTATTTGTCCTGTTTACCATTATCGCTGAAAGTTATTGTGAAAGAAAACAAGGGATTTCCTCATTTTGAAGAGATTTCCCCTCACTTCCTGTATTGGCCCCCTAACGCTATCAAAAATGGAAAAAAAAATTGCCTTTAGTTCTGCTTTAAGTAAAAAAATATGTTTATACTAGGATTATTAAAAATTATTCATATCCTTAAAAAGAAGGGCCAATGTTTGGTTAATTTTTTCTTGTCTGAAATCAGATTTCAATTTGCTACACTAAAATCACATTTATTCTGATTGGTTGTCCTGGATTATTGTGCTTTCCACTCCTTACAACTGCCACTCAGTCCTTTAATAAATGTACACTGCTCAAAAAAATTAAAGAAACACTTTTTAATCAGAGTATAGCACCAAGTCAATTAAACTCCTAAGATATTGATCTGGTCAGTTAAGTAGCAGAGGGGTTGTTAATCAGTTTCAGCTTCTTTGGTGTTAATGAATTTAACAACAGGTGAACTAGATGGGCAAAAATGAGATGACCCCCAAAACAGGAATGGTTTTCCAGGTGGAGGCTGTCACGGATCGCAGGATCGCCGCCACCAACATGCGACAATCTCACGATCGTGACGTCGAATATGTCATGATCACGGCGTCAGACCCCAGACCTTCTCACCAAACTTGTGACCGAAGGACTGGCCGATCTAAAACCGCGATGTGACGTGCGTAACAGTGCCACACCCAGCTGCACCCTGCACAACGATTTTCCAGCTAATGGACAACAGATCGATGTGCCGTCAGCCTAAGCGATTGTTACTGGATTGGGTTAATTACGCAACTAACCCTTTCACACTGCCACCACCTCCTTTTTGTACAGAGAAAGAGGAAACTCGCATTATCAGTTAATACAATATAATGATTGAAATAATTGTCTGTATAAAATGGTCCACAGGCCGGTTATACAGAGATTAAAACAAACAGTAGCGTCTCTTCAAAGGCAGGGATTCATAAATTGCGATTAAGAGCTAAAGGAACAGTTCAACACTTTCAGAAGAAAGATTTATTACTAAAAGGGTCAAACAGGTGCAATAAAAATATTTACAAAGAAGATGTAACTAAGAAATATATATACATATATAAAGAACCATAACACAGCAAAGAGATAATAGGAAGGAAGTTAAAGGGTTAAGTTACTTGCCAGTACGCCTTGGTTTTTAAGCAGATCCAAGTTGCAGAGCGAAAGGGTCTCCCCAGGTGGTATTGATATTAAAATGGGAGATGTCTTTAACTTCACAACTGAGGCCTGCTAGCCTGTTTTTAAAATGTCCCAGCAGGGGGGTGGCTCTGAGTAACTGACCAATACTCTGTTTAGGGAGGGATCGTCGGGCGGAACCCTAACTTAGAACCAACATCTTTCATAATTCATATTCGGGTCTATAGCTTCTCAGCTGCACGAGCGATAGTCCCCTCGCTGGTATATTATTACACCGACAAGTCTGAGGATTATTTAGATATGAATTATGAAATTATATGCTGCACGGTTCACGAGATCTATGCTTCTGCTTCCCTGAGCGTGCGAGACAAATTGAGTTACCTGTTAAACGATTCGCCTGCTCATTGTCCATCTGATGATATGTCCGGCTTTTATGTATGTCTCTCATATTCCAAGATATGGGACATAGGATAAAAATTGATTTGAGGAATGTTCATTTAATTCTGTCACCTATGTTGCTAGGTTTTATGAGGTTAAAATCTCTTTCAATTCCTGGAAAAGCTGCCTTATCTCTGTTATAAGGTGAGAAATTACACAGGTTCTTGGGCAGAGAGGCTCTGTCTCTCTTGGGGGGGCTTTGTAGCTCTGGGCCCCCTGCTGCTCTAGCCTGCCAGTGAGCCACAACCAGATGTCGCTGTGGCTGAACAGAGAGGAAAGGGGGGAGGATGCAGGAAAATATATTTCAGGATGGTTAGTCCCTTCGCCAAGATGGAGGTTGAAACCAAAATTGTTGAACCGCGTCCATCTCTGAAGCGCGCTTTTGCTACAGATGCCACTGACATTTTTTTCCCTACTCATCTTTTCTGGCTGTTTTTCACTAGTTTTGCATTTGGCTAGGGTCAGTGTCACTACTGGTAGCATGAGGTGATACCTGGACCCTACAGAGGTTGCACAGGCAGTCCAACTCCTCCAGGATGGCACATCTATACGTGCCATTGCCAGAAGGTTTGCTGTGTCTCCCAGCACAGTCTCAAGAGCATGCAGGAGATTCCAGGAGACAGGCAGTTACTCTAGAAAAGTTGGACAGGGCTGTAGAAGGTTCTTAACTCATTAGCAGGACTGTTATCTGCTCCTTTGTGCAAGGAGGAACAGGATGAGCACTGCCAGAGTCCTACAAAATGACCTCCAGCAGGCCACTGGTGTGAATGTATCTGACCAAACAATCAGAAACAGACTTCATGAGGGTGGCCTGAGGGCCTGACGTCCTTTAGTGGGCCCTT